GGTAAGTATGATATCTGCAAAAACAGGTGGCCATAAATGGATACTAGGACACACCTCTACTTCCTGGGATATTTTAAGACAAACTTCATAGCAGAGTCAAATACACAGCTACCTACTGCAGATGTGCACTTTCTCTTTAAGATGGAATAAAGTAAAGTAGCCAGATAAAACAATGTGTGTCTTTTAGGGATTTCTTTTTTCTTTTCTTGTGTTAGATAGCAATAAGGGAGAAGTACAGTCAAGGAGTCAGACTCTTCTAAATTCTATTTCAGACTCTAAAGTGACTCCTGCCATGCATTTAGACAAGTTATTTGACTTCTCTAAGCATCAGTTTCCCTATCTGTAAAATGGATAAAGTATCCATTTCTTCACCTCACACAAAAGTGCTTTGACTACCCATTGATAGGTGTAAGTTGTCTTCAATGCAAAAGTAAGACTCCATTAACATAGTTACTCATTTGCCAATATAACGTAGTTCAGCTTGTCTCAAAAGTCTTGGAGAGAAGCAGTAGTAAATGTGGTTCAAACTGATTTATTTTAGCCTTCTTATTTCTGCACTGGAAAGCATAATGATGTTTTCTCCAGAACCTTGCTTCTTAAATTGTAAGAGTGACCTCTAGTGCTTTACTGTTTTGTTGTACTCTGCAAGTCCTATTTTGCTGCCTTGGTTTTAATATGCCTCCCTGTAAGCATCTGATTTAGTTTTGTGCATAGTGCCAAATGCGTGATTTGATTATCATGTTTTTGTGCAAGTGGATGTATTCATAAATGGTACAATACAGAATGATGAAGAAAATTAAAGCTGGGGAAAAATTAAAGCTGGGGCTGGATTGCAGGAGAGTGTTTTACAAATGGAACTTAGTATTCATGTTTAGGGCTACTCCATGCACTTGAGTATCAAATGATATCATTACTGAATGACAGCACAAGATCATTTTGGTGCTGCAGGGCGACTGTGTGGCTCAGGGGAGCATGGTTAGTTTACAAAGCATGCATATGCTAAACCCTAGGGTACAGAAGCACACAACATCTTAAACTTCTTTGTCATTGCTTACATGTTTCAAACGAGCGGTCCCCTGCTACAGTGCTGTAAGGTTATTCCTGAATATTCTTACTGGCACTAACATTCACTTTCTTCAAACAGAGTTACTATGCCTTCCCTCCTCATTCATATGCCACACATCCAGAACCTCAACGAGGGAAAAAAATGCTGCTCATTTCAGGCTATGAGCATCTGGTGCTTAGGCAACTATTCTAATAGATGTATGCAAAATAAAATCCTTATGGTTCACTAAAGCCAAAGCACAGTCAAAGAACAAATACAGAATAGGTAAAATGTCTCAAAAATAGTTTTTGATAAGTTTCTCTGGGGTAAAAATGAGCATACCTCATTCAGTATCAAAACCGAAGATCCCAATGCACATATCAGATCTTTCTTCTAGAGGGCAGATTCTCTTCAGTATTTTAATCACTATTTCTATTTTGAAATTCAAGCTTACAGACTAACTATGATTTACTCATTTTTCAAAAACTTTCTCCTGGTTCTGGCAGTGCTCTTTCTCTTAATCATGCGTGGACATTATTATCTAAGCAATCAGCGCACATCCCATAAAATCTCGCTCTCAACATTTTCCCTTGTTGCATTTAACTCTACTCTTATACTGCACGGTTATGTGCATCAGAGTTACTTGAGTGCCAGCTTAATTCATGAGATCCTGATACCAGCCTTCAAACTGTAAATGGCAAAAATCAAGCTGATGCTGTATACAGTAGAAATCTGTCAGCAATTTCCATTTGAGAAATAATTCCTTCTAAAATGCATCACTTCTAAAATAGGAAACAAAGATGCAAATGAAGGATGAGCATGCAATTCCTTGGTAATGAGCGATGCTAATGAGAGATTATACTGAAACTTGAGCATTTGCAGTAGTATTCTCTATAAAGACTTGTGTAAACAAAAATCGGTAGAATGAATGCTAGAACTTAGAAAATGACATTTCTCAGCCAAAGGCACAGTTTCAGCCAAGCTACTTGCAGTCATCAGTTCAGAAGCATTAAGCATGTATATTTCAAGAGCAATATTTCATCCAGATCCAACCAAAATACCCCAGAAGTTTTCAAAACATTTTGTTCTGAGTTTTAAATCATTTGTAGTACTTACGTTTATTCCCTGCCACTATTGTGTTCCAGTCATGAATAGATAACAGAAACAGCAGCTTGAAGAAGCTTTCAGTGACAGAATCCATGTTCACATTCACAGAGGCACCCAAAAGAACCAGAGTGTTAGGAGAAACAGCTGCTCTGCACTTCAGTCTTATTCTTGCTTCCTCTTCTCTCTGCCTCTCTTCCTGCAGTGCTTCCCAGTGCCCAGACACCTCAGTCAAATGCACTCTGCATCTTCTCACACATGCATACACACCTCCAAATGTCGTCCCCCACCCCTCCCTCCAACAGCAGCAATCCCTGAAGAGCAGCAGCAAGAATCTCTCCTCCAATTTCACAGAATCACTCAGGGCTAAACTGCTAGACTACCCTGTATAGCTTGGTTACTGAAGCTGCACGTTCATAATGTGTCCTGGACACCCCTTGTGGTGACAGGTAGGAAATGTGAGTCTATGATGAAAGCCAGACAATAAGATAAAACAGCCTGCACATGAGTACCAGTACAGAGCCTCTTTGCTGGGTTCTCACTCAGCCCAGTTCTTTTATATATATTTAAGTTAGAGAGAGAGTAATATATTTGCTGTATATGCTACTTTTCCTCCTCCTTTATACACACCACACCTAAGGAGAACTTTCAAGCATTAAAAGTAGTGGATTTTGAAAACAAGATATTAACACTTCAGCTGCTCTGGCTTGCAACTGGAAGCATGCAGGTAAAAGTGAAGTGTACACATTCTCATGAAATAAGTGGACAGCCTAATAACCCACTGTCCATCAAAAATACAGTGCCAAGAAACTCCTTTGTGAACAGTAGCTTAGAAAACAGACTGATTCTTTAAGTGACAAAGTAATAATCCACAAACCAGGGACCTTTATAATGTACATTCATTCAGTATAAGGTTGTGTCAGCACATCCAGTGGTGTGTATCTTATTTTCAGGTTAATAAAAAATACTTTGGGTAAATAGTTAGCAAGATAGTCAACTTGGAATTTTGTTTGTTTTGTTTCATAATTTTTAATCAAGTGAAAAATATTGTATGCTGTCACAAATATTTATTGCATGATTTCTCAGATGATATTTTGCTCCACATATTTTAATATCTATCCCCCAAATGTACTGCAAACAGGTTATAATGGGTTGGAATTATACCTATGGTCATAGATACAAGCCTACCTATTGATGAAACAGCATCTCCTTATTAATATCTTTCTTCCATTAGACAAGGCACCTTATACTACACTGAGGATTCATCTCAAAGGCAGACAAGTAATGGTTCAATCACTACCATTTCCTTGGGGTTCCCATTGCAGTAAATAGCTTTGGATTGTAACCTACACTTGTGGCTACTGAAGCATTGTACTAAATCAGTGTTCCCAGCTATTCTGAGGCACATCCCCTATTCATCTAGCACCATCCTCTAATGCAACTCCCCCTATGCCTCTCTGCCTTTCCAATCTAAAGCAATGGAAATTGTGATTATTTTCTTTGGACACATTTTCTACTAAAGGGTTTTGTGCAAAGGCCTATGCTAGCATACACCAGGTTTAAACAACTGATGAATCTGGCCTACTAGCCAAAACCCTGCCCTCTCTCCTCCTGAAAGAACATATTGTCACTGAATGCAGCAGATCCAAGGAAGTCACACTGCTCAAATGGATGAGACTGTGTAGCGCTCATGCAGGGTGAAGTAGTATAGCCCCTTTTGCTTTTTGGAGTTCAACCCAACTAACCAGAAAGAAGTCCTTGGGACAGGAACAGACTGAGGTGATAAGGAAAGTTCAGATAAGCTTTTGTGCTGTTTACATAGATAAACTTTTTTTCCCATTCATATAGGGTAAACTTGGATTAACTCCTCCAGAAAATAAGCTTTTTATATAGCTCTCTAATGCTAACCCATAGGCTTTCCCTCATGATTTAATCTACTATCCATACATACCCAGTTTTCATATGCCATGTGGTAACCTTATCTCTTGACTAGATTTCTTTGCCATTTAATTCCTTGAAATAATACTAACCTTTGACTAAATGACTCACATTATCAGAAAAATGTCCCTTCTCCTGAAACAACTGCATCCCAGAAGCCAGTTCTAAAGATCGAGACCCTACAAGAGTATCTGGGACTCTATAGTTAAAAGAAACTTCGGATTTTAGAAATAGGGCAAACATCAAACCATGGCAAAGATAATGTAGAGTAATGACTGAAACCCTAGGGTTTCAGCACAGCAAGACTGATTATCCTGATAATTCAATGCATTTTTATTAAAATGATCAGTGTTATTACTGGTAAATATTTGTCTTGTCAAATACTTTGTTGTGACCAAAAAAAGAGCACCTGACAGAGAGAGAGGTCACAGATTCCCTTTTTGTACAAATTACGAATAAATATACAGATTAATGTGATCCACATTTCCAACTATAGAATCCCTACTGTGTTTTAACAGTAGATTCACACTGAAGATACATTGTACAGTATAACCTCAAAATCCGGAATTATTGAAAATCCGGCAATTTTTAAAACTACACTTCATTGGGGAGTAGTGGCAGCCGGTCCCGGAGCAGCGGAGGTGGAAGCTTGCATGTGACGGCTGCCACCGCCACCCACTGCCCCATGGCACTGCCCCACATGCGGCCGCTGCTCTGGGACTGGGTGCTGATCCAGTTTCAACAAACCAGAATTTTCACATTCCCGGCAGGTGCTTGGTCTCGAGCATGCGGGCTTCATGAGGTTATCCTGTATCTAATACATCACAAAAATGCATGAAAAGGACATATTTGCCATATGAGGTTATCCATTATGATCTTCTCTCAGCTATTGTATGATTCATTGTAAAAAGACTGGCAGCTAAAAACTATGTAAAATAACAGGTTTTGACTCACCTACAAAATTGCAACCTCCTCTGCCTTGTCCTCCCAACACTTTAGACCCTTCAACGTATTCAGAACCTTGCTACTCAAACAATCTTCCCTTTCTCTTGCTCGGTCTTACTACCTTCTTTGAATCCCCATCAGCCTCTCACTTTTCTCCCCCACATAAAGTTTATGCTTCTCATTAAGTTCTCAGCTTCACCTTAGGGGCTCCAGTTAATCTCTTTCCCACACTGATGTTCTTCCCAAGCCTCCATTCTGATTGCCCCTTTTGTATTCTTCTCATTCTCGTAATCATAGCTTTTCCCGTGCTGTTCATATATTCTTGAAGTTCCCTTCTCTCTTATGTATTAAACCCCCTCCTCCTTTCCATTTAAAATTTCTTTTATTTCTTACTAGAACTGCAAGGAATTATATATATTTTAACTGTATATATGCATGATTTAGAGTGACTGTACATTTCTTGGGACAAGCACAACATCTTATTTAATTTTTGTCCAACTCATTGCAAATCACCATCAGCATTTTATGGGATAGTTTGGCTTGTGTTTTACCAAAATTAGCTACTGCCAAACTTTGTTTTCCAAAGCCCCTGCTGTGACTTGACAGACACTAAAATCAAAATGTCATTCTTCTTTAAAATAATTTTTGCCCTACTTCTTAGTGTGCAAGGAGAAAATATATTAAAAAAATACATGCAAAGCATACTCCTGGCACTACTCATTCATGCATTATAGCACTTTGGGTTTTTAAAAGATCGTAAAGTTGTCGGACAATGATAGACTTATAAGACAGCAGAAAGAAATAGTAACCAAGGTTTAGCTCTTTATTTCTACACATTCAGTCAGGACAGAAACCTTACAGGAGATGCCTCAAATTGCTGTTAATTGCTGGCATACAACAAATATACAAGTGTGTTGTATTTTAATATTTACAGAATTTCTCTATAGCACAGTGTGTGAAAAAATATAAAAAAGCAAAATTTCAGTACTGCATCTCTAGTCAGTATAGAGATTTCCTTTGCTTGTCCACCATAACTTTCTTAAATCCTGGAAGAAGTTATATCCTAGAAAAACCCCCCTTGTACTATCCTGAGACCACAGACCACAGGCTTTGAGAACTGACTACCTTGTGCCTCTTACTTTCAACAAATCCAATTACATGACTAATCCAACTCCAACAAACCCCTATCTTCCCTGTCCAAGCGTTTCTGCCATTTTAAGTTCTGCTATCCCTTACCAGCCAGCAGCCAGAGATTTAAAATCCTTCACTTCTCTTTAGTATGAAAGGAAAATGGATTGTCTTCTCCCTTCTGTGGCCCTTGTTCTACTGCCACCTGCTGCGGTTGTTATGATATTGCAGATTCCTCTTTACAGCACAGAGTCACATAAATGCTGGTAGATCATTATGCCTTTAATTGCAAAAAGAGCTGTCACAAGTGCATAAAAAACATTTTGCTATACTGAGAAAACATATAGCAACATTCAGTGTCCTATCTTCATCATTGCCAGAATATAGATAGGAGCATTAAAAATAAGCCTCAGCATGCAGGATATTTTAAGTAACATCTTTTTCATGCTATTTGGGATAAAAGAAAATCCATCCTCATATAATATTACTGCGTATATCCATGTAACCATAGAACTCTTTGACAAGTATAGAATACAGTAAAAGAAAAAAAAATACTTGCCTAAAATGAACAGAATACAATTATTTGTCTTATCAGTATTTTTTCCAGCAGGGGCAGAGTTTCCCACTTTGTGAGCTGTTTGTAAAATAAGCAGTTCCAAGTTACTCCTTTTGACATATCAGCTAAAAAGAAAGAAATGAAAAGGTTCTCCCTATCAACAGAAAGTTGTATAAATCAATGTAAATGGTAGTTTTATTAAGGCACTAAAGTCTATTCCCCTCCCAACTGGAGTGCAGGCAGAAGGAACCTAAAAAAGAGTTTGACCCACTATGCTGTGTGAAACTCTGCTTGGTCTTCCAGTTAAGCCTGGGAGGTAGAACTAAGAGGACTGATGTGAGAGTGGGGCTGGAGGCTCTGCAACTGTTCCTGAATTCATTAAGTCAAATCCTATGAGGAGGTGTTTAAGCCACTACAGGACACAATTATTTTCAGTTCTAAAAATATTTTCTAATGCAGGAGCAGTCCACTAGTGGAATACCGATGTAACAGACTCATTATGACTAGTCTTTCTGACTTATGTCTGTGCCTTACAACCTCCTTCTGCTACGATTACTGCAGATATCTGCAATACAGCATGTTTCTTCTCATTGGTGAGCAGCCCTTTTTGTGGCTGCTATTTTTGTGCCTCCACACTAAGTCGGTGTGAGGACCTGCCAGACAGCCATGGGGATGGATCTGGGTGCGCAGGGATGGTGAGGACTGTATGAAACCCAGAGAGCAGGCAAAGAGAGAGACCCCCCCCACACACACACTTCTACCCATACAACCTGCACTGCTCTCAGACAGATTGGAGCAGCGGGGTGGTGAATTGGGGGTGGAGAGGCTGATGGGGGTTGGAATGGGTGATTTGAGGGTGATTGGGGTGACAGGGAGGATCACGGTGGCAGGGGTGTGGTCCAGGGGTGCAGGGGCCAGTTGGAGGACAGGGAGGTGATCTGGGGCCAATGCGGGGTGGAAGAGACAACTGAGACAGGGCAGCTGGGGCTGCACAGTGGCATCCCCCAGGTCTTCATACTTGGACCAGTGCTCTTTAATAAATGATCTGGATTTAGGTATCAGAAGCAGACTGGCTAAATTCACTGATGACACCAAACTATGGGGA